TTTATTGTGCGAGACTATGTCAAATGCTTTCGATATACCGAAGTACAATACAAGGACTATTTCGCATGCCTCACGACTACTGGTAATGAGGTTGAAGAAGACAAACTGACATGTGATGCATGATCTGTTTTTCATAAAGGTGTTCTGGGACTTCGTTTTAAAATCCTCTGCCAGTAGGTATTCAGACATACCGTCCCTTGCAACTTTCTCCAAAACTACAATGGGACTGGGGCTACGGTGATGGGTCTGAAGTGGCATGCTACTGATAAGAGTACGCATCTCACAATCGAAATTCCAAATCGGTCACTAAAGAGTCCACAAACCATGACCGGGTTGCTGCAGACCAACTCGTTATGAAGTAAGTAGCGCATACCTCTTGTGGTTTGAAGGCGTTTCTTTAGAAGTGATGTTAGACTGTATACCTTGGAGCTAGTCCTAAGGGCTTGAAGCTCACCATTTCTGGCGTTTGTATGAACAAGCCTTTTGCTGATTCCAGGGTATCTCGGATCGTGCGCAGCGAGGAAAAATCTTCAGTGGAGTGGTACGGATTCCACAGTTGCCTGAGCTTTTTGCGGTGTGTGGGTGGGGTGTGTTCTGATTGGCAATATAGTTTCACTATTTTCACGGGAGCAGCAGTATCCAGACATGACGTGACGTTCCTGTAAAAAAAGATGCCGTGGTTGTTGGTGAGTCAGCGGTAAGGAAGTCATCCCAACGGGAGAACCTTAGAGGCTCTAAGAGCAGTTTACGGTCCGTACCTTTAAGGGTGTGACATTCAATAAGCAACAAAGCTTGCTTACCACCTGCATTTGGTGCTGGGATAGATGGACAACGGAATACCATTCTGTGGTCACCACTGAAAAACTCGCCACCAACATAAGCGGTTACTAGGGTGATGCAATGGCAATATACCAAGTTCAACATATTATCCCTAAGAGTACGTGCGCGGACATGTTGCTTCCAGCCATAGAGATCTATCACAGCAAGTACCTTAGGGAGGCGCTGCGCACAGCAACCAGCTTTCCGGTTCATTTCGGAAAGTTTGAAGTCATCAGCAGTCAATTTAAGACTGGCACCATATGAAGAAATATGAGCTAGAAGTGTGTCCGTTTCCGCTGTTGAAAATGGCGCTCGATATACGCAGCCTATGGGTATTTCGTATTTGTCACCGCATAAGGTGACCCACGGTGAGTCAGACACTACACTTCAACCTCACTTGCCTTAACTTGATTACATATATAAATGAGACAGCCACCACCACGCTTATGATCTTGATTGACGCGATGGTGAGTGCATCCATCGATAGACAAGTCTGCATCCGGGATGCTAGATGGACACCGTGATTCAGTTATAAGTAGCACCGTCGGTTTAGCGATTAGAACCGTTGTTCTGAGGGCAGATATTTTCTTAAGTAGTGAGAGTGTGCTGATGAGCAACAATGTAAATAGGTTTTTATGGCTGACGAACTTACCTACAATGTCACTTATACCTATCTCACTACGTTCATTCCCATGAGGTGTGCCTACAGGTGATGTGTAGTGTGTGTTAGAAGCGAACTGGTTTGTGTTGATAGGGCAGTGGGTGGATTCGCGACACTTGAGTCTACTGGGTAGGATAGCTTGTTTATCAACATGCCTTTGCTCCTTACTGATATCGCATGTTGAAGTTCGCTGCCGGTGGGTACCATTTCGGATGATTCCAACTTTTTGTCTGTGAATCGTAAGCTGGATACCAAGGGTCGTACATAACGTTTGGTGGCTCCGAAAAATCAGGAGGTCCAGGTGCGTCAACGTACTTGGCCCTTGGGGCGACGTACCCAGTTCTAGGGTCATGATCATATGAGTTGCACCCTGGTACCTTGTTCTGGTAGGGATGAATAGACCCCACTAGATTAGTTCTAATGCCGGACTGCGACATGTTGCGGCTATTGCATTCGCCGAGGCGATAAGTGATAGCGCAATGCGCGCCATTAAAATCTGGGTTGTGATCAGGTATACGAGTAAAGAGCTTTTTGTTCCAAGGCAATGGTTTGTGTTGCTTAGTAGTGCGCATTCGTGCCGTGGTCTAGTTGACAACGAATTATTCTTCTCAGTTGTTGGACGAAATAGGCTCAAAATTGCTGCGTCTAAGGTTAATACTAGGTTTGAGTCCTTGAGGTTTGCCCGAGAGTTTTCTGGCCATCAGTCTATCCTTTGACGAGATGCTCACTATACTTTGACCAGGGTGGTTAGTCTTGGAAGGGGGCTTCTCAGGAACTGCCAGGTTTAATGGAGGAGTCGCATCACAGTCCACGAGTGCCTGCTTCTCAGGTGATGCCGGCGGATAACTGCACTTTCTTGCTGTTAAGTGTTCGTCTTATGCTTTGGGGTGCCTCTAAAATTGTAGAAAGAAAGACTGAATCATTCTTAAAGTGCTTTCTACGTTAACACAGCGTTCTGCCTTGCATAACAGTAATTTCAGTGAAATTATAGCTAGCTCAAATGGCGTTCTGTAGCTTAATAATTTTTCGGCGTAAAATAGCGTTGGAAGACGGTGTGATAACCGGTTAGTGAAATTTTTTGCAAAAACATCTACAGTCGCAGGGCACACTAACAGTAAAGCAAGCTCGTAGGGTCTTACTTTTAGCGATTTCTAAATGCACCTTAAAATGTATGTTGAACACTATGGCTTGTTGGGATGATGTGAATCGCTTTACTGCCTCAGTAGCAATGAAATCTACTAAAATGTTGCCTTCCGCAAGTTATAACTTGATAGGGTGTCAGGTTGGCCGAACAAAAAGCCAACGAAGGGAATTTCTTTAGCATCTCTTAAATGACATCCAAGAAAACCCCACTTAAGGCAACCTCAGTTTGGTTTTCCTCTAGTCTTGCATACGTTCCGGAGGCAATGTCTGAGGCTTTGATGGTCAGTGGGAGGAAAATAATATCTCCCGCATCAAAATAACAGTCTAAGACATCTACCTTATTGCACTTAGAGACGGATCCTACACCACTCGCATTAGAATCACCACTAAGATAGTCCATTTTCGAGCACTTAGCAGGAGACAGCTTAAAAAGTTCCTAAGTGTCCAGCCTATAGTTTCAGTCCTGTACTCTATGACTGAATCAAAGACCAGTCCTTCTCCACCATAGTCCCAACAACCATCGTTGAACTCTTCCCTACATAGCTTACTTAGTAAGTTCAAATAATTGACTACTGTTAACAATCGTCTCTGCCTTCTCCATCTCTTTAGCCTCCTCTGCCCACCACTGTTCACGGTCGTTGCGTAGACTTTTTCTCAGTCTACTTTTAAGTTGTCCTCGCTCTTCATTGCACTCACAGCCTACAGGCAAGCATACGTCCAGGTGCATCCATTAGTTCGGAAGAAGATGCTGATATCCACTGCCTCTTGTAGCCACCCTTTCAGAGTCGGCTACGGTCATCAACGCTATTTTTACAGCAGACTGGAGATACCACCAAGCTTCTCCCAGATGAATGGCAATCTTTTGTTCCCATAACTGCCTAGCCGATTTTTCACTGAAAGCGGCTTCGGTATTTTCCTTGTCGAGCTACACTCGTAGTGGTTTTCCTGCCGAATATACACCACGTCCGTTAACACGCAGGCATATCCGCTCTCGGACCAACACGTGGTGGCTGTCCAAGCACCTACTCCGGAAGGAGAGGCAGTCTTCCAACGATCCTCTCCACCGGTGACTATTAGCAATGTGTTCCTTCTGTGCCCATCGCTCAGTTGAGCTCGGTGGACGCCACATTAGACAGTGTCTTTCTTTATGTCTGAAATTTGTGCTAGATAGAGACAGGCAGTCATCTGAGCATAGTTGTAGTGGGTGATCACCGTTATCTGTACGTTCAGCAGGGACTCCGAAAGTGCCACCTAAGTGTCTTTCCGCAGCATCAACATGGCACCACTAGTCATTCAAAGGAAACACCTTACTGCTGTCACACCCAATCCAGAGACCAGCAGTATGACTTCACCCTCAGACCCCCATCATACTGTAGTAATCTGCACCAAAATGGTAACTGTCTTTCGTCTAACCACTATCCGACAGACCTTTCTAGTATGGTAGGACCTCGAGGGAACAAGTGCTCCACTAGTATAGCCTGTTGTGTCATTGTGATATGCAAGCCCGACCACCACGTCAATGTATCAGCTATCGGTTGGAAAGTGTCTTGACACAAAAATACAAAGTCAAAACGGCTGGAATTGAAAAACTGAGCGTGTATCGAGCTTATGGTATGGCTTGAGGAAAACATTTTTTTTCATATTTTGACTGCTATGGTTTGTGATCGAAACCAGACACCGTGGTGCTGGAAAGTAAATCTAGATGTTTAGTATACTTATACACAAATCGGATGGATCCAATGAAACAGATTACTAAGACATCTGACAGTCATGTGAGAAAAAACCTGCAAAAGTCGAGCGATAGGTTTCAAATGACTAGAAATTGATGATTCTGGATAATAGAAGCCTTGGATGACCAATACTTACAATGCTCGTGGTTACTAGCCACATCTTTATCCACTAATGGACGTCTCATGGGGTCAGAACAATTATCAACCCTTGGCCTTTGATACACTGGAAGTTGATAACGTGGGAAAAGTGTCTGCGGATGCACATAAACTTAATTTTGTTGCTCATCATGAAGCAGCCTTATTCTTTGCTGAAACCCTGAGGAGACTGTTCACGCAGCAGCTTAACTAGAGTGCAGCACGTGAAGATTGCAGATCAGATGAAGTCACACTTATTTTCAAGGGTGGTCAATGAAGAAGAGCATCCCTGCCTTCCGTAAGCTAGTAGGAAAAATATTGGATATGCAACTCACTGTTCACATGGCGACTAAACTATATTTAAAAGGTCAACTGGAATAAGGTTATTATTAACTAATGCCCTTATATCATCGAACTAGAAATCTGAACCAAACCTCAAGAACTAGACGCGAGAGATCAAAAACTAACAATTTTCTACGCTCGTACTACCAATGTTGGATGTTGAATAAGTCCACTAATATCAAAACTAGCGTTGCAAGTTGAATTCTTTTGACTCCCATGGGGCTGTTCATAATTGACCGAAGTGATAATATAGGTCATATCTGATGTAGGGTTTTATATGATATTTAGAATTTTGGACTCATATAATCTGATTTTATAGGGTGGTAACAACTTCGGCGCTTTGAAAAGAGGAAGTGAATTCTTCCATGCGTTTGACATTTTTGCTTTTGTTGTGTAATCCACATCAAGAGCTTTCATATAACCCTTGACTTGAAGTACTTAAGTCAGTGTTTAAAGTTTAATCATTTTTTGAGGCGTAAGGTCGGTCTTTGTGTTGTCGCAACCGAAGTCCCCTTGTCGGAATTTTGACCGAGTACTTTAGTTGGTACACGACACGAGTGAATAACTTGGTTAGCGATAAACATGTTTGCGGTCGTCCCAGCTGTAAATTTTCGGTGGGTGAAGGTATGCAATGTGATACATGTGGATGTTGGTTCCACAAAGTTTGTACAGGATTGACACCGACCGTGTACAAGCATTGCAGCAAACCAGCTCCCTGGTTACGTGATTTCTGCTACAAGCCGTTACCAATCCTCATCGAGGAAGCTGTTGAAAATTTACTTGTCAGAAAACAGCTATTTGGAAGTGACAGCTGTCATTCTAATGCGGCATCAGATGATGACGCTGCAAGTGTTATCGTTAATATATCTGACACAGGACCTCTCGATGGACTAATAGATGCTGGTGATACAGTCGGTGAAATTACAACAGTCTCGAAGCGTGCTCTAAGCAACAGAAAACCAAGGGCAAATGTTATACCAATCATAATGCCTGAGGATTCACTGGAAGACTGCATCTCTGGTAACAGCGTTGACTCTGTAAAAGTGGTCAACGAATCTACGCAAAATTCTCCAAGAAAGCATCCGAAGGTTATCACGGAAGATACTAAGCTTATGAAACCTATTGAGGTTTCGAAGGCCGTCAACACACTACTCAAGGATTCCACTCCAGCTCCCAGTTTAATCTTCTGGAATGTTGAGGAGTCATCAGACAAAAATGCCTCAATACGTCACGGCCATGACCTGCAACTAGTTGAGTCAGCCATGCGACGTATTCTGCCTAAGGGTACACATCTCCAAAGTAGTTAGGCTAGGTAAGAAAACAAACGAAAAACCTGATGAGAAGAGAATTTTAAGGGTTGTTTCAGGCAACAGAGATGAAGTGGATGTACTCTTGAGTAACGCATCCGAACTAAGAAATTCGGATATCTGCATCCGACCTGACTGGCTCCTCAAGGACCGCATAAAAAGAAGAGTAGCTGTTGCCGAACTTTAGGCTCGACAGGCTAATGGTGAAAATGATCTTAAAATGGTGGGTTTTCGGGTTGTGAGGTCTTGGAAGCGGATGCTTCCAAGGCCTATATGGGTGGATCATGGAACTCTTCCAACACAATGAAAGTTATCCACACTAACGTCCGTAGTATTAGAAGCAAAATGACAGACCTCGAGACTAATCTGCGAGCTGGATCCTGACATAGTAGCCCTTACTGAAACCTGGTTAATCAAGGATTTAGATTTTACGCCACTCCTCACAGGGTATTACTGTGTAAGGACGGATAGGGTTATGGGTCGCAAAGGTGGCGGCATACTACTATATGTTAGGGATGACGTCCACGTACGATTAGTCACTTCTGAAGCACATGAATGTGGGACCTGTGAAGTGGCCAGTTGCGAGCTGAAGTCAAAGCATGGTTTCTGTACTATCGGGGTCATTTACCGTAGTCCATCCTGCCTTGCAAATGACTTCGTGCTAACCCATATAGGTAACTGGAGTAGATGTAACAGATACCTAATAGTTGGGGATCTGAATGCTCCACACATAAACTGGACGGAGCTAAAAGTCTCACCACCAGGTGGTTCCTTCGAAAATGACTTACTTTCGACGGTCTTAGAATCTGCTATAGTTCAAAACGTAACATGTGCAACACGTTACGATTTTGAACATAAGCCATCGTTATTAGATTTAGTTTCAACCCATCAATGTGAAGACATTCTGGATCTACGATACTTCCCTCCATTAGCTAACAGCGACCATGTAGTACTAACTTTTGGTTTTCGGACTAATGAGTTTGATTATGACACTGCTTCCCCTAGACCTAATGTATGGCTGCGGACATTTCAAGTATAAGGGATTGCGCAGTCAGTAAGGATTGGACCGTCGACAAGGGTTCATCAATTGAGAATGCATGGAATAGGTTTAGAACTCTATTTGAAGAGGTAACGACGCCATTTATTCCATGTTCGACTCCACGACGATCCTCACATCACCCTCCGTGGTTTAATAAAGACATTAAGAGACTGTTAAGGCTGAGGAAACGTTTATGGGACTTGTTTCTAGAAACTAGACTGGAAACATTTAAGACTGAGTACTGTAAAGTCCGTAATCTCTGGAAGACTTTGATTACACGGTCTCGAATGTCCTACGAGAAGCAGCTTGTGAGGGACTGCCAAAATTGTCCTAAAAGACTGTTCGCATTCGTCAGAAGGGGACTAAAAGAAAAGGCGGAATTCCCTCTCTGGCGACGGATGAGAAGTCCGATAGTCTGGAGGAATCTAATCTGTCCAAAGCTGAATGTCTGTCTGATTACTTTAGTGAAGTCTACTCTGTAGATCATGACGATGAAGTGCTAAATAGTGGTTTCAGCACTGTTCCACTGATAGATACAGTGCCCACAACAAAGGAAAGAGTCTTACAGTTGCCCATTAACCTCAAACCTGGAAAATCCCCAGGTCCCGATGAGTTACATCCTAGACTTTTATCCTCGCTAGCAGACATCATTGCTGAGCCAGTCACAGATCTTTTCAACATATCCCTAACTCAGACTCGCCTCCCTAGAGACTGGAAAGATGCCATAATCAGCCCAGTCTTTAGGACCGGTAGTCGCCATTTGGTGTCTAACTATCGCCCTGTGAAAGTAACTAGCATAGTTGTTAAGATTTTAGAAAAAATAATTCGTGACAGGGTACTTAAACATGTGGAATCAAGCAATCTTTTGGTACCACAGCAACATGGTTTTCGTACTGGGCACTCCTGTCTAACTAACCTCCTCATAGTGAGAGAGGAATGGGTTGCAGCCCGTGATTGCAAGCTGCCAATAAATGCCGTGTTTATAGACTTCAGTAAGGCATTCGATAAATTGTTGCATGTGAAATTACTAGGAAAACTCTCCTCCTTCGGGTTTGGTTCTTCATTGCAAGCTTGGATCAGGGACCTTTTATACGATAGAAGGAAAAGAGTAAGGGTAAATGGGACACTATCTGGGTGGAAACCTGTGATGAGTGGAACAATCCTAGGTCCACTACTTTTCTTGTTATATATCAACGAATTGCCGAATATACTCAACTCTTCGGTACTGTTATTTGTCGACGATGTAAAGATTTGGAGAGCCATACGCAGTGATGCAGATAGGTATGCACTTCAGGCGGATTTAGATGAACTAATAGGTTAGTCCAAACGTTGGTGCCTGGAAATCAATTCTAACAAAAGTGCGATAGTGCACATGGGTCATAGCAATTGTTTCCAGTATTCCGTTGATGGTACACCACTACTTCCAGTCCTTGAAATAAAAGACTTGGGTGTCATCATTAGTCATGATTTGAAAACCTCGGCAAGCTGTAATGCAGCTGCAGCAAAGGGCTTCCGTATATTACGGTCCCTCCTCAGAGCTTTCAAATTTTTTGATGAGGACATGTTTAGAATACTCTATTCTACCTACGTTAGACCCCACTTGGAGTACTGCATTCAGGCGGCCAGCCCGTGCCTAAAAAAGGATGCTGACGCACTCGAGTGCGTTCAGAGGGTAGGTACTAAGCTTGTGGCAGGCCTTTCAAATCTGTCCTATGAAGAACGACTAGATTAGCTAAATTTATTCCTACTGTCTTACCGTAGAAGACGGGGTGACCTCATACTGGCATTTTGTATTCTTAATAATGACTTCGGTACTGATATGTCCCATCTTTTCTACCTTGCTAGGACTGACTGTCTTCGAGGTCATCACCAGAAAACTCTAAAACCGCGATCGGATCAACTTAGCGTGAATCTTCGTCTCTCCCATCGTGTTGTCAACGACTGAAACCTTACCTCAGCAAGTAGTATCAGCACCTGTCAACGCTTTCAAAGAGAAACTAGATCTCCACAGAGATATCTTCTGCAAGGATTAACACAAGCCAACTGGCCTACTATCCTTATAACTGAAAACTGGGAAACTAAAACTGACATATAGGTGTAATGTTGAAAAATAAAGCATGAGACATCGAAACTTTAGGATAATTTTTATTCATTGCGCAAACTTTTGTTTCCTGCAAATTCTTGCCGTATTTTCATTCTTTTAGGATTCGCTACTAAGCAGTTTGCTAACAATAACTTCACAGCATAATGTTACTATGTAATTTAATTTTAGGATTTCTTCAGGAGCACAAAATACGTTTGACTAAACCAGAGCGAATTCAAAAGGGGTAATATTTAAAAATAAATCTAGTTAAATCCTCCGTAGGATCTGCATTGATTCATGCTGTGTGACATTTTCAAGGCATCAGAAAACGTGTAGCGCTTGTCACAATAATAATGAAGCTATCAGACCTAAGAATCACACGTAAACCATTAGATCGTAATAAGACCAAAGAAAGTAAGATGTGATCACGTACATGTGAAACAGTTATATCAAGAGTTTCTAGTTTTATAGAGGAATCGCAAAATGTTAAGGCAGATTCCTTAGAAGGTGAAGCGGAAGATGGGAGTTACATTGAATTGGTGAGTTATTGATCCTTTCGTTCATCTGAGTTGATTAACACTCCTCAAACTTGAGTTTTGGTAATAAGTTGTTTTCTATATAAAATTATCTATATGAACGCATCTCCATCAGCAAAACTGCCAAAGTGCACCAGCTCTCGGACAACTTCCTGTGATTAAACAACAAAGGTGAATGCGATTACAGGCTACCACTATTCTTGCAGACGCACGTTGCACTTCATTGGTAGGAAGCATCTGCTGTACTTACGGATACTGGCCACCGACCAGTTGATTGTGACTTGAGTAGCATGTATTTCGTTGCGCAGAAAACGGTGTCGTTTGCATACTCGAGGTCAAAATGTCTTTCGTCTGGCAGTGGGCCTACACCACTATGCATTTCTTGCAGGATTGTCCTGAGAATGTCATTGACTTCAAAATTAGAGGAAAATGGTGGAATCAGGCAACCCTGACTACCCCGCGGTCGGTGGCTGCAATGCTTTGTTCTATCTGAGGTATTTTTCTATAGAGCTTCTGGAAAGTTAGTAAACTCGATGACTCCGGAATACAACCGTGCCTACTGATTTGAATTTAGTTCTAATGCTGTGATTTAGATTGATTACTGGTCTGCAAGGCATGTGACGGTCTTCTACAGTCTGTTAGAGAGGAAACACATGAGTAGGCACATCCATGACCTAAACGAAACCCAGCCTGGTCCTTAGTGGTCAATCTTTCACGCATACTGCACAGCCTGGTGAGTACAACAGCAGCCAAACACTAGGCATTACTGATATCAAAATGATACCCCAATGATTATCATATATATATATATATATATATATATATATATATATATATATATATATATATATGTAGCGCAAGGAAGGGAAGGTTGGGCATAGGGCTAGCAACCCTACCCCGTAAAACAAATCTAACCGCTAAAGAAACTTCAAAGCACAAACGATATATAAAAAATAATAAAATTATTCCTCGCTGGAATCGGAGAGGCGAAATAACGCCAGTTGGTGAAAGCCTTTGGAAAGCCAATTGGCCGATGTGTCTTCTCTCGATGAAAGCGAAAGTAAACGTGGGGAATGTCCGCACGATGTTTGAACCCAGTAAGGCAGCCCAGATTGCAAAGGAGGTGAGAAGGTATAACATCGAAGTGCTTGGGATTTGCGAAAGCAGATGGAATGGGAGTGGACTCTCCAAACTGTCAACTGGAGAGCAGTGTCAATAATCTACTCCGGTCACCCAGACGACAACCACGAGCACACTGAGTTTTGGAGTGGCTATTATGACGTCCCCAAGAGCATCGAAGGCCCTCATGCAGTGGGAACCAATCTCCCAGGATTGAACCTAGAAATTCTGGATTTCGCCGATGACTTGTGCCTGATGTCACACAAACTTGAAGATCTACAGGCGAAAACTAACAAGTTGGCAGAAGAGGCAACGAAGACGGGACTTCAAGTGAATATAGAGAAGGCAGAGGTGATGAAGATACCGCACCACCACCACCAACAAACTCCAATCACCATGAATGGAGAAAGAAGTAACCTCCACCTATATAGGCAGGCAGCACTGTTTCAACTACAGGCGGGACAGACGAGGATGTCAAAATCAGAATCGGAAAAGCAAGACAGGCGTTCATTAGCCTGAAACTTGCACTCAGCATGTGGAACAAGATCTGGATTTTCAACACCAACGTCGTCATTGCTTCTGTGTGGTTCAGAGACTTGGCGCGTCATGAAAGGGATTTCCAATAAACTACACATATTCATCAACAACTGCTTACGCTGGCTCGCTACTGAAGATCAGATGGCCAGAATAAGAAGAATAAGCAGCAAGGAGCTCTGGGAACGAACCAACCAAGAACCTATCGCTCAACAAATATGCACTGGAAGGAAGTGGAGATGGATGGGATTGGGCATACACTGAGAAAGCCGACTGGGGACATCACGCGTCAGGCCAAGCCGTCGAGTGGAATCCCCATGGGAAGCGACGAGTTGGGCGTCCCAGCTGAGGGTGACATGGAGGAGATCGTGCGAGAAGGAAATGAGAGCTTGTGGGCTGTCGTGGAGCCAGGTTCAAAAGATTTCAGAGAAGAGTTCACTGTAGACTTGCTAGTGAAGCGGTATGTTCCATTAGGAACCCAAGGGACTAATAATAATAACAATATAACAATATATAGTGCAAACCGTTTTTAAAGATGAGTACAACAATAACTTTATTTCAGGGTGTTGAAGTACTTATTCTGTCGTACCTACTCAAGTACTCAAGGATTACTTGAATTACTCTTAAAACCAAATTATTTAAATATTCAACTCAAAATTTTCTTTTTGCACTTGCGTTTGTGGCTAGTTCAGCGCAATGAATTACATTCTATGTGTAGATAACTGGGTATCTTTATTTTCGCTTAACCAGTGTAGATGTAATTTTGATCCAGTAATGTTTTTTGCTTTTAGAATCTTCTAATACCCTCCTCAGATGCAAATAATGAGTCCTCGAATCTTCCAATTAACTTGTCCGACTCTTCAACCGAATGTGATGATTCATCTTCAGAATCCGAGGGTGAATCTCGTACAATAATTATGCAGTCCACAGTTACTCACCCTCATAAATCTGGCAAACTAATTGAAGAACTTAAATCAAGTCATACCGATGATTGTATCATGGAGTGATTTGTAAATAATTGTATTTTCAGAGTTTATTTGGTTAAGACTAAGTACTCTATGTGGTTTGTACTAATTATGATGTTATGACTCAGACTACAAATTATAATTCAAGAACTTATGAATTCAGACTGCTAATATCTACTTTTTTATAAACCTTCAGCAAACAAAACAAACATTTGTTTGTAATTAATGTGATGCTATTCATTCCACAGGAATGTTAGGAGTCTGTGGAAGCCTGTGGGTGGCTGACACTTCCTGGCTATCCACACCGTTGAAGATAAGAAGTTAAATGATGGAATGTCGACCACTTCACCTACTTTGGGAGTTAGGTCAACTCCAAAGAGTTAGTTGCTGGCAAAGTCTCAGCTCGGATATAGAAGACCCGTTTGACACTTGCCAACTTATATCACGTGCGGCGCAGGCGAGTTGTCTCACTATCTTTCAAGGGACGAGTGTACTGCGCTGAAGTCCATTCTGTCGCATTGTACGGCTGTAAGACATGACCGTTAAAAGTAGATGATATGAGGCGATAACAGGATTTTGATCTCAAGTATCTTCGTACCATTGCTCATACGTGATGAACTCACCATGTGATCAATGTTGAGATCAAGCGAAGGGTACTAGGCAAGACAGATGAGTCGATTGACGAGGTTGTTAACCTTAGTCGATTGAGATGGCTTGGACATGTACTAAACATTCCGATCCACCGCCTACCTCGACGCTTCATGCTAGAAGTTGGATTAGGTTGGAAGGGGTTTCAGAGTGGCAAGACCACGACATAGCATCAGCAAATGAAGTCTCATAGTGTTGGCCTGACTAGTGTGGGGGAAATGTGGACTCTCCGGTTGGGGTCCCCTAGAGGAAAAGAATCAGTGGTTTAGGACTCCTGATGACATGGCTGAAAATCAGTGACAGTGGGGCAGATGTATTCACTTCTTGACATCTAAAGCTTGAATGTTCACACTAACGTTTATCTTCAGATTATTTATTTTCTCACACTGCTTTATCTATTTTGATACCACTCTTATTGTATACATGTATGTATGGAGGCCAACAAACGCATCTAGGTGAACCAAAGTTAGTGGGATTTACTTAGATCAATGTATCGTTGGTTGGAAGCTAAATTTTTCGAACCAATAAGACAAAGCTTTGTCTTACGATGTATATTATAAATCGAACAAATATCTTTAATATGAAAAGAGTTCAGACACCCCTGGTTAAGATCTACCTGTTGCAAGCGATAACATTGGATATAAAATGACTTATCACGCAAAATCGTATGCGTGATTTTATGCACCTTTGAAGATAAGTTAGAATTATCGGCAGTTGTCCAGATGACTGCTTGTCTCTCATCTAGCACAAATTTCAGACATAAAGAAAGACACTGTCTAATGTGGCGTCCACCGAGCTCAACTGAGCGATGGACACAGAAGGAGCACATTGCTAATAGTCACCAGTGGAGAGGATCGTTGGAAGACTGCCTCTCCTTCCGGAGTAGGTGTTTGGATAGCCACCACGTGTTGGTCCGAGAGCGGATATGCCTGCGTGTTAACGGACGTGGTGTATATTTGGCAGGAAAACCACTACGAGTGTAGCTCGACAAGGAAAATACCGAGGCCGCTTTCAGTGAAAAATCGGCTAGGCAGTTATGAGAAGAAAAGATTACCATTCATCTGGGAGGAGCTTGGTGGTATCTCCAGTCTGCTGTAAAAGTAGCGTCGATGACCGTAGCCGACTCTGAAAGAGTGGCTAAAAAGAGGCAGTGGATATCAGCATCTTCTTCCGAACTAATGGATGCACCTGGACGTATGCTTGCCTGTAGGCTGTGAGTGTAATGAAGAGCAAGGACAACTTAAAAGTAGACTGAGAAAAAGTCTACGCAACGACCGTGAACAGTGGTGGGCAGAGGAGGCTAAAGAGATGGAGAAGGCAGAGACGATTGTTAACAGTAGTCAATTATTTGAACTTACTAAGTAAGCTATGTAGGGAAGAGTTCAACGATGGTTGTTGGGACTATGGTGGAGAAGGACTGGTCTTTGATTCAGTCGTAGAGTACAGGACTGAAACGATGGGCAAAACACTTCGAGGAGCAGTTTGACTGGTCTCCAGCCACCATCGCGTTACCCGCTGTACGCTCTAATCGTGGATGGAACATTGAGATATGCACCCCAACACTAGCAGAAGTCGAGAAAGCGTTAGGTAACCTGAAACGAGGAAGGGCGGCTGGCCCAGAGGGACCAACTCCAGAGGTATACAAGGATAGTGGTCAGGTTCTCTTAGTCAGGTGAACGGAAGTGTCAACCCGTATATGGGAATCAAATACGATCCCTTTTGACTGGTCTAAATGACTGATTATCCCAGTCTTCAAGAAAGGCGTGAAGTCCTCTTGTAACCACAGAGTAATCAGCCTGACGAACATAGTGTCCAAGATCCTAAGTTCTATAATTCTTCGACGCCTGAGTGGAGATCAAGAACAGCAAGCCGAGAAAACCAGGCTGGCCTTAGACCCGATTGCCAGTGTATCGAGCGAATATGCGTACTGTGCCAGGTTCTGTAACATAGGTTCGCTTACCGAGGCCCGACACTAGCTGTATTTCCCGACCTGAAGGCGGCATTTGACTCCGTTGATCGAGAAGTCTTATGGCAATGTCTGTCACTGAAAGGCGTGTCAAGTAAGTACACCACCTTATTGTAAGCTCTCTACTCGAACAATTGTGGGCGTGTTAGAGTCTATATTGAGGTTTTCAGGGAGCTATGCTCATCGAGTGGTGTCCGTCAAGGGTGCCCACTGTCTCCATCATTATTCAATTTTATCATAGATATTATTATGGAGGTCTTCCTCGTGTCACCTTACCACACAGCGACTGACCTGGTTGCAGGAGAATTTTTGGAAGACCTAGAATATGCAGATGACATAGTCCTGTCGGGTGAAGACCCTGACAAGATGCAGAGTCTTCTGAAAATTTTGAGTAGGAATTTGAGAATGTTTGGGATGCGGTTCTCACCTCCCCCCAAATGCGAATTGTCGCTCCAGGATTGGTCTTCAACGGTGCCATGGCTAACAATAGAGAGTGTAGTGATTGCGTGGGTTTGAAACTTTACTTTCCTGGGAAGTAGGATCAGCCCTGGTGGCTCAGTGGTTGATGAAACCTCTGCACGGATACAAAAGGCTCGATTGGCTTTTGCCAACTTACGCCACCTATGGTGCCGCCGTGATAACCGGTTGTCTATTAAGCTTTGCGTGTACTGCACAGCAGTCCGCTCTGTCCTGCTGTACGGCTGTGAAACATGGTCATTGAAGGTGGAAGACATGAGAAGGCTTCAAGTGTTTGACCACCGTCGCCTTCGTAGTATTGGCCGTATTCTGTGTTGTCACCACGTGACTAACGCAGAAGTCAGACATGCAGTTTTGGGCAGGATAGGTAAGACAGTTGGTGCGACTATAAACTTTCACCAACTAAGATGGCAGGAACATGTGTTACATGTGCCTAACCACCGTGTCTCATCGGACAATGTTGACCGAAGAGAGTTCAGGCTGGAAGAAGGTTCGAGGCGGCCAGACTAAAACATGGCACCAATGTAGAAAGTCTTTGACTGTTGGTTTGAGCCATATGGGGCGATGTAGACTAGGCGGTTGGGGTTGGCGGGACTAGAGAAACCGGCGTTCAGAGACTAGGCGATTTGGCTGAGAACTGTTGTCGGTGGTGCAGATGCATACACTCGTTGTCCTCATCCTAATCGCTGTACTTAGTCTCATCATGTCATCCTTATTTTCTCTTCTTTGCTACTTTTTACTTTCTTTGACCGGATTTTTCTTCTCTTCTTAATCTTTACTTAATTGCCTTATTAATTGATGTACTGATATGAGGTGTGACAACTTAGACCATCACTCAGTAATGCTTGTCCTGTCCTGTGTTGATCATGATGATGATGACTGGAAGCTATGATATGTATTTTGCAAAGTGGTTTCGGAAGGTTAGACATACTCCTCTGCGAAATGGAATCGTTGTCATCAAAGCAAGGACAGAATTTTCAGAATAAATTGAGCTCAGTTTTATTTCACGACTTCTGCTCAACTGTAAGAGATCTGGATTAAATAGAGAATTAGTTTTGGACAGAATGAAAGACACTTTTGAGATGTAGAAAGTAACGATGTATATTGGAGAGTATAGATGCAGCAGGCAAAACTCATTTAACAAGTGTTGGCAATGCTGATAAAGTGGGTTTATTTATAGGGAGTGAGACGGAATATATCATAGTTTGTTTTAAAGGGAGGGGATTGGGAATGGTAATAATCATTGTCATAATAACAACAAAAGATTTCCCACATAGAGACAAACAGATCGATATTTTATTACATAAGACTCATAGAACAAGTAATAAAAGCATAAGGGGATGAATAAGGAAAAATCAAATGGGAAATAATATGGCGAAGGCAAACAAATAGCTACCAAGGTGATAGTAGAATAATGATTAAAGACATTAATTCCCCGATACGCATTTAAAAACAAGCAACAAATTTGAATGAATCAGGATTTAGTGAATTCATGAATGTCAGTGAAACTCAGCTGAGAACTTTACGTACTTGATTTTTATATAGACCGTTAAGCAGTGCAAGAAGAGACACATACATATATAACGTAGACTGAGACATCGATTGAGGTATAACAACATATAAATGAGTAGTTTTCTTAAATGTCAGGTGGTAATGAAACGGTAGGATGTGGATTTTCATAGTGAACAGGTTGAATATAAGTTGCATAACGAAATGAGACATTGAGTAACAGTGCAGTCTAAAGAACCCTATGGGTTTCGGGTGTAGAGATAATGATAACAGTGAAAGTAATAATAATAACGTTGACATTGAAATGGGAAGTAAATCTGTTGGAGGTGGATTACATCATCCATGATAGGGTAGGTCATGGTCACTACAGACACATCATTTGATTATGTAATTTACTTTCAACCTGTCCACTCACATCTTTGCATTATCATCTAAGCCATAAAAAGACTGCTGTTACACTTTAGTATGGAGCGGTGGCTAATTGGTTTAAGCAGATGACTTTCAACCATTATGTTACGGGTTTAAATATCACTCCATCTGTCTCTATTCAGATTTTCCATTCCAATTCCTATCATCACCCAATATCGATTAATTTTATAACAGTGAGTTGCACAACATGCGATTTT